CTTCTTACATCTCTTATTCTGGAATTCTTCTTGATAACTTCTGTGGCATTCTTTCTTACATCTCCCCTTTTCTGATATTCTTCTTTTCCTAAATTCTTTCTGATATTCTTCTTACATCTCCTTTTTCTGATATTCTTCTTGGATAACTTCTTGGCATTTCTTCTTACATCTTCTTCTTCTGATCTTCTTCTTGGATAACTTCTTGGCATTCTTTCCCATCTCCTCTTCTGATATTCTTCTTGGATATTCTTGTGGCATTCTTCTTACATATCCTTCTTCTGTTGTTCTTCTTGATAATTTCTTGTGGCATTCTTCTTACATCTCCTTTTCTGATATTCTTCTTGGATACTTCTTGTGGCATTCTTCTTACATCTCCTTTTCTTGATATCTTCTTGGATAACTTCTTGTAGCATTTTCTTACATCTCTTCTTCTGATATTCTTCTTTGATAACTTCTTGTGGCATTCTTCTACATCTCAACTTCTGATATTCTTCTTGTAACTTTTGGCATTCTTCTTACATCCTTTTCTGATATTCTTTCTTGGATAACTTCTTGTGGCATTCTTCTTACATCTCCTTTTCTGATATTCTTCTTGATAACTTCTTGTGGCATTGTTTCATTGTCTTTTCTGATATTCTTCTGGATAAACTTCTTGTGGCATTCTTCTTACATCTCCTTTTTCTGATAATTCTTCTTGGATAACTTTGTGTGGCATTTCTTACATTCTCCTTTTCTGATATTCTTCTTGGATAACTTCTTGTGGCATTCTTCTTACATCTCTTTTTCTGATATTCTTCTTGGATAACTTCTTGTGGCATTCTTCTTACATCTCTCTTTTCTGATATTCTTCTGGATAACTTTGTGGCATTCTTCTTACATCCCCTTTCTGATATTCTTCTTGGATAACTTCTTGTGGTATTCTTCTTACATCTCTTCTTCTGATATTCTTCTAGGATAACTTCTTGTGGTATTCTTTCTTACATCTCCTTTTCTGATATTCTTCTTGATAAATTCTTGTGGCATTCTTCTTACATCTTTTCTGATATTCTTCTTGGATAACTTTTGTGGCATTCTTCTTACATCTCCCTTTCTGATATTCTTCTTGGATAACTTCTTGTGGCATTTTTCTTACATCTCTTCTTCTGATATTCTTCTTGGATAATTCTTCTTCTTACATCTTCTTCTGATATTCTTCTTGGATAACTTCTTGTGGCATTCTTCTTACATCTCCTTTCTGATATTCTTCTCTTGCAGCATTCTTCTTTTTCTGATATTCTTCTTGATAAATTTTTAGGTATTCTTCTTACATCTCCCTTTCTGATATTCTTCTTGATAACTTCTGTGGTATTGTTCTTACATCTCTTCTTCTGATATTCTTCTAGGATAACTTCTGTAGCATTCTTTCTTACATCTCATTTTCTGATATTCTCCTTCTTTGATAACTTTTGTGGCATTCTTTTCACATCTCTTTCTGATATTGTTCTTGGATAACTTTTGTGCATTCTTCTTACATCTCTTCTTCTGATATTCTTCTTGATAAACTCTTGTAGCATTCTTACATCTCCTTTTCTGATATTCTTTCTGGATAAATTCTTGTGGCATTCTTCTTACATCTCCTTTTCTGATATTCTTCTTTGGATACTTCTTGTGGAATTCTTCTTTACATCTCGTTTTTCTTATATCTGATATTCTTCTAGGATAACTTCTTGTGCATTCTTCTCACATCTCATTTTATTCTGATATTCTTCTTGATAACTTCTTGTGGCATTCTTCTTTACATCTCCTTTTTCTGATATTCTTCTTGGATAACTTCTTGCGGCATTCTTCTTACATCTCTTTTTCTGATATTCTTCTTGATAACTTCTTGTGGCATTCTTCTTACATCTCTTTTTCTGATATTCTTCTTGGATAACTTCTTGCATTCCTTTCACATCTCCTTTCTGATATTCTTCTTGATAACTTCTTTGCGGCATTCTTCTTTACATTCCTTTTCTGATATTCTTGGATAACTTCTTGGCCTTCTTCTTACATCTCCTTTCTCTGATATTCTTCTTGGATAACTTCTTGTGGCATTCTTCTTTACATCTCCTTTTTCTGATATTCTTCTTGATAACTTCTTGGCATTCTTCTTACATCTCCTTTTCTGGATATTCTCTTGATAACTTTTTGTGGCATTCTTCTTACATCTCCTTTTCTGATCCTTCTGATATTCTTCTCCTTTTCTTCTGATATTTTTCTTGTATCATTCTTCATATCTCCTTTCTGATATTCTTCTTGGATAACTTCTTGCATCATTCTTCTTACATCTCCTTTCTTCTGATATTCTTTTTTCTTGATAACTTCTTTGTGGTATTTTTCTTATATCTCTTTTTCTGATATTCTTCTTGGATAACTTCTTGTGGCATTCTTTCTTACATCTCTTTTTCTGATATTCTTCTGGATAACTTCTTGTGGCATTCTTTCTTTACATCTCCTTTTTCTGATATTCTTCTTGGATAATTTCTTGTGGCATTCTTCTTACATCTCGTTTTCTGATATTCTTCTTGGATAATCCCTTGGCATTCTTCTTATATCCTTAACTTCTTATATCTCCTTTTCTGATATTTTTTCTTGATAACTTCTTGTGGCATTTTTCTTACATCTCTTCTTCTGATATTCTTCTTGGATAACTTCTGTGGCATTCTTTTCACATCTTTTCTTCTGATATTCTTCTTGGATAATTTTTGTGGCATTCTTCTTACATCTCCTTTTCTGATATTCTTCTTGGATAACTTCTTGTGGCATTCTTCTTTATATCTCCTTCTGATATTCTTCTTGGATAACTAACTTCTTGTGGCCTTTCATTTCTTCTTACAAATCTGTGGCATTCTTCTGATATTCTTCTTGATATTCTTTGGATAACTTCTTGTAGCATTCTTTCTTATCTCTCCTCTTCTGATATTCTTCTTGGATAACTTCTTGTGGCATTCTTCTTACATCTCTTCTCTTTTCGATATTCTTTCTTGGATAACTTCTTGTGGCATTCTTCTTACATCTCCTTTTCTGATATTCTTCTTGGATAACTTCTTGTGGCATTCTTCTTACATCTCCTTTTCTGATATTCTTCTTGGATAACTCTTGCAGCATTCTTCTTACATCTCCTTTTCTGATATTCTTCTTGGATAACTTCTTGTAGCATTTTCTCTTACATCTCTTTTTCTGATATTCTTCTTGGATAACTTCTTTGTGGCATTCTTCTTACATCTCTTCTTTTCTGATATTCTTCTTGGATAACTTTTTGGGCATTCTTCTTACATCTCCTTTTCTGATATTCTTCTTGATAACTTTTTGTATTCTTCTTACATTCCTTTTCTATATCCTTCTTGGATAACTTAAATTCTCCTTTTCTGATATTCTTCTGATAACTTTTGTGGCATTTTCTTACATCTCTTCTTCTGGTATTCTTTTGTAGCATTCTTCTTACATTCTTCTGATATCCTTTTCTTGATAACTTCTTCTTCTTCTTACACTTTTTCTGATATTCTTCTGATAAACTTGTATCTTTCTTACATCTCCTTTGTGATATTCTTCTTGGATAACGTCTTGTGGCATTCTTCTTACATCTCCTTCTGATATTCTTTCCTTGGATAACTTCTTGTGGCATTCTTCTTACATCTCCTTTTCTGATATTCTTCTTGGATAAATTCTTGTGGCATTCTTCTTACATCTCTCCTTTTCTATTTCTTCTTGGATAATTTCTTGTGGCATTCTTCTTACATCTCCTTTTCTGATATTCTTCTTGGATAACTTTTTGTGGCATTTTTTCTTTACATCTCCCTTCTGATATTCTTCCTTGGATAACTTCTTTTTGTGGCATTCTTTTCTTACATCTCTTCTTTTCTGATATTCTTCTTGGATAACTTCTTGTGGCATTCTTCTTACATCTCCTTTTCTGATATTCTTCTTGGATAACTTCTTGTGGCATTCTTCTTACATCTCTTTTTCTGATATTCTTCTTGGATAACTTCTTGGCATTCTTCTTACATATCTTTTCTGATATTCTTCTTGATAACTTCTTGTGGCGTTCTTCTTACATCTCTTTTGGATAACTTCTGATATTCTTCTTGGATAACTTCTTGTGGCATTCTTCTTATATCTCCTTTTCTGATATTCTTCTTGGATAACTTCTGTGGCATTCTTCTTACATCTCTTCTTTCTGATATTCTTCTTGGATAACTTCTTGTGGCATTCTTCTTACATCTCTTCTTCTGATATTCTTCTTGGATAACTTTTGTGGCATTCTTCTTACATCTCTTCTTCTGGTATTCTTCTTGATAACTTTTCTTCTTCTTGGCATTCTTCTTTCCCCTTTTCACATCTCCTTTTCTGATATTCTTCTTGGATAACTTCTTGTGGCATTCTTCTTACATCTCCCTTTCTTATATTCTTCTTGGATACATCTCTTCTCTTCTTGGATAACTATCATTCTTCTTAAATCTCTTTTCTGATGTTCTTCTGATATTCTTCTTGGATAATTCTTGGATAACTTCTTGGCATTCTTCTTACATCTCCTTTTCTGATATTCTTCTTGGATAACTTCTTGTAGCATTCTTCTTACATCTCCTTTTTTCTGATATTCTTCTTGGATAACTTCTTATGGCATTCTTCTTACATCTCTTTTCTGATATTCTTCTTGGATAACTTCTTGTGGCATTGTTCTTTACATCTCTTCTTCTGATATTCTTCTTGGATAACTTCTTGTGGCATTCTTCTTACATCTCTTCTTCTGATATTCTTCTTGGATAACTTCTTGTGGCATTCTTCTTACATCTCTTTTTCTGATATTCTTCTTGGATAACTTCTTGTGCATTCTTCACATCTCCTTTTCTGATATTCTTGGATCTCTTCTTCATATTCTTCTTGGATAACTTCTTGTGGCATTCTTCTTACATCTCCTTTTCTGATAACTTCTTGGATAACTTCTTGATAATCTCCTTTTCTTATTCTTCTTGGATAACTTCATGCGGCATTCTTCTTACATCTCTTTTCTGATATTCTTCTTGGATAACTTCTTGTGGCATTCTTCTTATATCTTCTTGGATAACTTCTTGCTGATCTTTCTTCTAGATAACTTCTTGTGGCATTCTTCTTACATCTTCTTTTTCTTGATATTCTTCTTGGATAACTTCTTGTGGCATTCTTCTTACATCTCTTCTTCTGATATTCTTCTTGGATAACTTCTTGTGGCATTCTTCTTACATCTCCTTTTCTGATATTCTTCTAACTTCTTGATAACTTTTTTCTTGGATATTTGTGGCTTCTTCTTACATCTCCTTTTCTGATATTCTTCTTGGATTCTTCTTACTTCTGATATTCTTCTTGGATTCTTCTTACATCTCCTTTTCTGATATTCTTCTTGGATAACTTCTTGTGGCATTCTTCTTACATCTCTTCTTCTGATATTCTTCTTGGATAACTTCTTGTGGCATTCTTCTTACATCTCCTTTTCTGATATTCTTCTTGGATAACTTCTTGTGGCATTCTTCTTACATCTCTTGTACTTTTCTGATATTCTTCTTGGATAACTCTTCTTCTGGGGCATTCTTCTTATATCTCCTTTTCTGATATTCTTCTTGGATAACTTCTTGTTCTTCTTATCTCTTCTTCTTATTCTTCTTGGATAACTTCTTGTAGCATTCTTCTTATCTCTTCTTCTGATATTCTTCTAGGATAACTTCTTGTGGCATTCTTCTTATATCTCCTTTTCTGATATTCTTCTTGGATAACTTCTTGTGGCATTCTTCTTACATCTCTTCTTCTGATATTCTTCTTGGATAACTTGTCTTGTTCTTACATCTCCCTTTTCTGCTTCTTGGATTCTTCTTACATCTCTTCTTCTGATATTCTTCTTGGATAACTTCTTGTGGCATTCTTCTTACATCTCCTTTTCTGATATTCTTCTTGGATAACTTCTTGTGGCTTCTTCATTCTTCTTACATTCTTCTTGGATAACCATTCTTCTTATATTCTTCTTGGATAACTTCTTGTGGCATTCTTCTTACATCTCCTTTTCTGATATTCTTCTTGGATAACTTCTTTCTGGCATTCTTCTTACATGTGGCCTTCGGCATTCTTTTTCTGATATTCTTCTTGGATAACTTTTGTAGCATTCTTCACATCCCCTTTTCTGATATTCTTTTCTTGGAAAATTCTTACATTCTTTCTTACATCTCCTCTTTCTGATATTCTTGGATAACTTCTTGTGGCATTCTTCTTACATCCTTGTTTTCTGGAATTCTTCTTGATAACTTGTTGTAGCATTCTTCTTACATCTCCTTTTGTGATATTCTTCTTGGATAACTTCTTGCGGCATTCTTCTTACATCTCTTCTTCTTCTTCTTGGATGTCTAGGATAACTTGTTTTCTGATATTCTTTCTTGATATCTTCTTTTGCGGATTGTTCTTATTTCTTCTGAATTCTTTTCTTGGATAACTTCTTGCGGCATTCTTTCTACATCTCCTTTTCTGATATTCTTCTTGGATAACTTCTTGTGGCATTCTTCTTACATCTCCTCTTCTGATATTCTTCTTGGATAACTTCTTGTGGCATTCTTCTTACATCTCTTTTCTTCTGATATTCTTCTTGGATAAATTCTGTGGCATTCTTCTTTACATCTCCTTTTCTGATATTCTTCTTGATAACGTCTTCAGGTATTCTTCTTACATCTCCTTTCGATATTCTTCTGGATAACCTCTTGTGGCATTCTTTCTTACATCTCCTTTTTCTGATATTCTTCTTGAATAACTTCTTTTGAGCATTCTTTTACATCTCCTTTTCTGATATTCTTCTTCGATAAATTCTTCTGGCATTTTTTCTTACATCCCCTTTTTCTGATATTCTTTCTTGATAACTTTGCATTCTTCTTACACCACTTCTGATATTTCTTTGATAACTTCTTGTGGCATTCTTTTTACATCTCCTTTTCTGATATTCTTCTTGGATAACTTTCAGGGCATTCTTTTACATCTCTTCTTCTGATATTCTTCCTTGATAACTTGCGGCATTCTTTCTTACATCTCTCTTTTCTGATATTCTTCTTGATAACTTCTTGTGGCATTCTTCTTTATATCTCCTTTTCTGATATTCTTCTTGGACAACATCTCTTCTGATATTCTTCTTGGATAACTTTGCGCATTTTCTTACATCTCTTCTTGAATATAACTTCTTGTGGCATTCTTTCTTACATCTCCTTTTCGATATTCTTCTTGGATATATCCTTACATCTCTTATTCTGGAATTCTTCTTGATAACTTCTGTGGCATTCTTTCACATCTCCTTTTCTGATATTCTTCTTGGATAACTTTCTTGCGGCATTCTTTCACATCTCTTTCTTCTGATATTCTTCTTGGATAACTTCTGCGGCATTCTCTTTCTTACATCTTCTTCTGGAATTCTTCTTGGATAACTTCTGTGGCATTCTTCTTACATCTCCTTTTCTTGATATTCTTTCTTGGATAACTTCTGTGGCATTCTTCTTACATCTCCTTTCTACATTCTTCTTGATAACTTCTTGTGGCATTCTTCTTACATCTCCTCTTTCTGATATTCTTCTTGGATAACTTCTCCGTGGCATTCTTCTTACATCTCCTTTTCTCTGATATTCTTCTTGGATAACTTCTTGTGGCATTCTTCTTACATCTCCTTTCTGATATTCTTCTTTGATAACTTCTTGTGCATTCTTCTACATCTCTTCTTCTGATATTCTTCTTGGATAACTTCTGGCATTCTTCTTACATCTCCTCTTCTGATATTTTCTTGGATAACTTCTTGGATTCTCTTACATCTCCTTTTCTGATATTCTTCTTGACATCTCTTTCTTCTGATATTCTTTCTAGGATAATTTCTGTATTCTTTCTACATCTCCTTTTTCTGATATTCTTCTTTGGATAACTTCTTGTGGCATTCTTCTTACATCTCTCCTTTTCTGATATTCTTCTTGGATAACTTCTTGCGGCATTATTCTTACATCTCTTTTCTGATATTCTTCTTGGATAACTTGTGGCATTCTTCTTACATAACTTCTTTTGGCGTTCTTTTCTGATATTCTTCTTGGATAACTTCTTGCAGCATTGTTCTTACATCTCTTCTTCTGATATTCTTCTTGGAAAACTTCTTGTGCATTCTTCTTATATCTCTTCTTCTGATATTCTTCTTGGATAACTTCTTGTGGCATTCTTCTTACATCATTTTCTGATATTCTTCTTGGATAAATTCTGGCATTCTTCATTCTTTTCTTACATCTTCATGCGGCATTTTCTCTCTTCTTCTGATATTCTTCTTGGATAAATTTTTTGGCATTCTTTTACATCTCCTTTTCTGGTATTCTTCTTGGATAACTTCTTGTGGCATTCTTCTTACATCTCCTTTTCTGATATTCTTCTAGGATAACTTCATGCGGCATTCTTCTTACATCTCTTCTTCTGATATTCTTCTTGGATAACTTCTTGTGGCATTCTTCTTACATCTCCTTTTCGATATTCTTCTTTGATACCTTTCTTGCGGCATTTGTCTTACATCTCTTCTTCTGATATTCTTCTTGGATAACTTCTTGTAGCATTCTTCTTACATCTCCTTTTCTGATATTCTTCTTGGATAACTTCTTGTGGCATTCTTCTTACATCTCTTCTTCTTGATATTCTTCTAGGATAACTTCTTGTGGCATTCTTCTTACATCTCTTTTCTGATATTCTTCTTGGATAACTTCTTATTCTTCTTACATCTCTCCTTTCTGATATTCTTCGGATAACTTCTTGTGGCTTACATCTCCTTTCTGATATTCTTCTTGGATAACTTCTTGCATCATTCTTCTTACATCTCTTTCTGATATTCTTCTTGGACAACTTCTTGTAGCGTTCTTTTACATCTCTTTTCTTGGATATTCTTCTTGGATAAATTCTTGTGGCATTCTTCTTACATCTCCTTTTCTGATATTCTTCTTGGATAACTTCTTTGAGCATTCTTCTTACATCTCCTTTTCTGATTCTTCTTGGATAACTTCTTGTGGCATTCTTCTTACATCTCTTTTCTGATTCTTCTTGGATTCTTGTGGCATTCTTCTTATCTCTTCTTCTTGGATAACTTCTTCTGGCATTCTTCTTACATCTCCTTTTCTGATATTCTAAATTCTTGTAACATTCTTCTTACATCTCCTCTTCTGATATTCTTCTTGGATAAGTTACGGCATTCTTCTTACATCTCTTCTGATATTCTTCTTGGATAACTTCTTGTAGCATTCTTCTTACATCTCCTTTTCTGATATTCTTCTTGGATAACTTGTGGCATTCTTCTTACATCTCTTCTTCTGATATTCTTCTTGGATAACTTCTTGCATTCTTACATCTCCTTTTCTGATATTCTTCTTGGATAACTTCTTTCTTCTTACATCTCTTTTCTGATATTCTTCTTGGATAACTTCTTGTGGCATTCTTCTTACATCTCTTTTTCTGATATTCTTCTTGGATAACTTCTTGTAGCATTCTTCTTACATCTCCTTTTCTGATATTCTTCTTGGATAACTTCTTGTGGCATTCTTCTTTTACTTCTTCTAAATCTTTTTCTGATATTCTTCTTGGATAACTTCTTGTGGCATTCTTCTTACATCTCCTTTTCTGATATTCTTCTTGGATAACTTCTTGCGGCATTCTTCTTACATCTCTTTTTCTGATATTCTTCTGGATAACTTCTTGTATTCTTCTTACATCTCCTTTTCTGATATTCTTCTTGGATAACTTCTTGCATCATTCTTCTTACATCTCTTCTTCTTTCTGATATTCTTCTAGGATAAATTTCTTGTGGCATTCTTCTTACATCTCCTTTTCTGATATTCTTCTTAACTTCTTGATTCTTTAACTTCTCCTTGGCTGCATTCTTCTTGGATACATCTTCTTCTTACATTCTTCTTCTGATATTCTTCTAGGATAACTTCTTGTGGCATTCTTCTTACATCTCCTTTTCTGATATTCTTCTTGGATAATCTTCTTGTAACTAATGGCATTCTTCTTACATCTCCTTTTCTGATATTCTTCTTGGATAACTTCTTGTGGCATTCTTCTTACATCTCTTTTTCTGATATTCTTCTTGGATAAGTTCTTCTAGCATTCTTCTACATCTCCTTTTCTTATATTTTTCTTGGATAACTTCTTGTGGCATTCTTCTTACATCTCTTCTTCTGATATTCTTCTTGGATAACTTCTTGTGGCATTCTTCTTACATCTCCTTTTCTGATATTCTTCTTGGATAACTTCTTTGGCATTCTTCTTACATCTCCTTTTCTGATATTCTTCTTGGATAACTTCTTGTGGCATTCTTCTTTGGAGCATCTCTTCTTTTCTGATATTCTTCTTGGATAACTTCTTGTGGCATTCTTTTACTCCTTTTCTGATATTCTTTTAACTTCTGATTTTTCTTCTTCTGATAAATTCTTGGATAACGTCTTGGCATTCTTCTTACATCTCCTTTTCTGATATTCTTCTTGGATAACTTCTTGTGGCATTCTTCTTACATCTCCTTTTCTGATATTCTTCTTGGATAACTCTTCTTGTATTCTTCGGCATTCTTCTTCTTACATCTCCTTTTTCTGATATTCTTCTTGGATAACGTCTTGAGGCATTCTTCTTACATCTCCTCTTCTGATATTCTTCTTGGATAACTTCTTGTAGCATTCTTCTCACATCTCCTTTCTGATATTCTTCTTGGATAAATTCTTGTAGTATTCTTCTTACATCTCTCCTTTTCTGATATTCTTCTTGGATAACTTCTTGTGGCATTCTTCTTACATCTCCTTTTCTGATATTCTTTCTTGGATAACTCCCTTTTCTGATATTCATTCTTCTTACATCTCTTCTTCTGATTTCTTAACTTCTTGGATAATCTCCTCTTAACTTCTGTGGCATTCTTCATTCATCTCTTTTTCTGATATTCTTCTTGGATAACTTCTTGTGGCATTCTTCTTACATCTCTTTTCTGATATTCTTCTTGGATAACTTCTTGTGGCATTCTTCTTACATCTCCTTTTCTGATATTCTTCTTGGATAACTTCTTGTGGCATTCTTTTCTTCTTAAATCTCTTCTTCTGATATTCTTCTTGGATAACTTTTGTGGCATTCTTCTTACATCTCCTTTTCTGATATTCTTCTTGGATAACTTCTTGTGGCATTCTTCTTACATCTCTTCTTCTGGTATTCTTCTTGATAACTTCTTGTAGCATTCTTGATATTCTTCTTGGATTAATTCTTGTGGCATTCTTCTTACATCTCCTTTTCTGATATTCTTCTTGGATAACTTCTTGTGGCATTCTTCTTTATTCTTTTCTTACTTCTTGGATAATTCTTGTAGCATTCTTCTTTCTGATATTCTTCTTGGATAACTTCTTGTGGCATTCTTCTTTCTATATCTCTTAACTTCTTGATTCTTCTTCTTGGATAACTTCTTGTGGCATTCTTCTTACATCCCTTTTCTGATATTCTTCTTGGATAACTTCTTGTGATTCTTCTTACATCTCTCCTTTCTGATATTCTTCTTGGATAACTTCTTGTAGCATTCTTCTTACATCTCTTTTTCTGATATTCTTCTTGGATAACTTCTTGTGGCATTCCTTTTCTGATATTCTTCTTACATCTTCTTCTTACTCTCTTTCTTCTGATATTCTTCTTGGATAACTTCTTGTGGCATTCTTCTTACATCTCTTTTCTGATATTCTTCTTGGATAACTTCTTGTGGCATTCTTCTTACATCTCCTTTTCTGATATTCTTCTTGGATAACTTCTTGTATCATTCTTCTTAAATCTCCTTTTTTCTGATATTCTTCTTGGATAACTTCTTGTGGCATTCTTCTTACATCTCTTTTTCTGATATTCTTCTTGGATAACTTCTTGTGCATTCTTCTTACATCTCTTTCTTCTGATATTCTTCTTGGATAACTTCTTGTGGCATTCTTCTTACATCTCCTTTTCTGATATTCTTCTTGATAACTTCTTGTGGCATTCTTCTTACATCTTCCTCTTAAATCTCTGGTATTCTTCTTGGATAATTTCTTTTCTTACATAACCTCTTCCTGATATTCTTCTTGGATAACTTCTTGTGATATTCTTCTTACATCTCCTCTTGTGGCATTCTTCTTGGATAACTTCTTTTTCTTCTTGGCATTCTTCTTACATCTCCACTTCTGATATTCTTCTTGGATAACTTCTTGTGGCATCTTCTTACATCTCTTTTCTGATATTCTTCTTGGATAACTTCTTGTGGCATTCTTCTTACATCTCTTTTTCTGATATTCTTCTTGGATAACTTCTTGTGGGCTTATTCTTTTCTTACATCTTCTTGTTTTCTTCTTTATATCCTTTTCTTTCTTGGATAACTTCTTGTGGCATTCTTCTTATATCTCCTTTTCTTAACTTGTGGCATTCTTCTTACATCTCCTTTTCTTATATTCTTCTTGGATAACTTCTGGTATTCTTCTTGATCTCTTCTTCTGATATTCTTCTTGGATAACTTCTTACATTCTTCTTACATATCTTCTTCTGACATTCTTCTTGGATAACTTCTTGTGGCATTCTTCTACATCTCCTTTTTCTGATATTCTTCTTGGATAACTTCTTGTGGCATTCTTCTTACATCTCCTTTTCTGATATTCTTTTGGATAACTTGGATAACTTTCTTCCTGGCATTCTTCTTACATCTCCCACTTCTGATATTCTTCTTGGATAACTTCTTGTGGCATTCTTCTTACATCTCCTTCTTATATCCTCTTCTTCTTGGATAATTTCTTGTAGCATTTTCTTACATCTCTTTTTCTGATATTCTTCTTGATAACGTACTTGGATAATTCTTCTTACATCTCTTTCTTATTATTTCTTCTTGGATAACTTCTTGTAGCATTCTTCTTACATCTCTTCTTCTGATATTCTTCTTGGATAACTTCTTGTGGCATTCTTCTTACATCTCCTTTTCTGATATTTCTTCTTGGATAACTTCTTTGTGGCATTCTTCTTACATCTCCTTTTCTGATATTCTTCTTGGATAACTTCTTGTGGCATTCTTCTTACATCTCTTTTTCTGATATTCTTCTTGGATAACTTCTTGTATCCTTCTTCTTACATCTCCTCTTCTGATATTCTTCTTGGATAACTTCTTGTGGCATTCTTCTTACATCTCTTCTTCTGATATTCTTCTTGGATATTCTTCTTTTGTGGCATTCTTCTTGTCATCTCCTTTTCTGATATTCTTCTTGGATAACTTCTTGTGGCATTCTTTCTTACATCTGATTCTGATATTCTTCTTGGATAACTTCTTGTGGCATTCTTCTTACATCTCTTTTTCTGATATTCTTCTTGGATAACTTCTTGTGCATTCTTCTTTACATCTCTTCTTCTGATATTCTTCTTGGATAACTTCTTGTGGCATTCTTTCTTACATCTCTTCTTCTGATATTCTTCTTGGATAACTTCTTGTGGCATTCTTCTTACATCTCCTTTTCTGATATTCTTCTTGGATAAATTTTGTGGCATTCTTCTTACATCTCCTTTTCTTATATTCTTCTTGGATAACTTCTTGTGGCATTCTTCTTACATCTCCTCTTCTTCTTTTGATATTCTTCTTGGATAATTCTTCTTAACTTCTTGTGGCATTCTTCTACACATCTCCTTTTCTGATATTCTTCTTGGATAAATTTCTTCTGGCATTTTCTTTTTCTTATATCTCTTCTTCTGGGATAACTTCTTGTGGCATTCTTCTTACATCTCTTTTTCTGATATTCTTCTTGGATAACTTCTTGTGGCATTCTTCTTACATCTCCTTTCTGATATTCTTCTTGGATAACTTCTTGTGGCATTCTTCTTACATCTCCTTTTCTGATATTCTTCTTGGATAACTTCTTGTATTCATTCTTCTTGGCATATCTTTTTCTTATATTCTTCTTTGATAACTTCTTGGATATTCTTCTTACATATCTTCTTCTGATATTCTTCTTGATAACTTCTGTGGCATTCTTCTTACATCTCTTTTCTGATATTCTTCTTGGATAACTTCTTGTGGCATTCTTCTTACATCTCTTCTTCTGATATTCTTCTTGGATAACTTCTTTGTGCATTCTTCTTACATCTCCTTTTCTGATATTCTTCTTGGATAACTTCTTGTGGCATTCTTCTTACATCTTCCTTCTTGGATAACTTCTTGATATTCCTCTTCTGATATTCTTCTTGGATAACTTCTTGTGGCATTCTTCATCATTCTTCTTATTCTTCTACATCTCTTCTTCTGATATTCTTCTTGGATAACTTCTTGTGGCATTCTTCTTACTTACATATCTTGGATAACTTCTGATATTCTTCTTGGATAACTTCTTGTGGCATTCTTTACTTACATCTCCTCTTTTCTGATATTCTTCTTGGATAACTTCTTGTGGCATTCTTCTTACAACTCTTATTCTTCTTGGATAACTCTTGTAGCTTCTTCTTACATCTCTTCTTCTGATATTCTTCTTGGATAACTTCTTGTGGCATTCTTCTTACATCTCTTCTTTCTGATATTCTTCTTGGATAACTTCTTGTGGCATTCTTCTTACATCTCCTTTTCTGATATTCTTCTTGGATAACTTCTTGTGGCATTCTTCTTACATCTCCTTCTTCTGATATTCTTCTTGGATAACTTCTTGTGGCATTTCTTCTTTTTCTTCTTCTTGGATAACTTCTTGTCATTCTTCTTACATCTCCTTTTCTTATTCTTCTTGGATAACTTCTTGTGGCATTCTTCTTACATCTCCTCTTCTGATATTCTTCTTGGATAATTCTTGTGGCATTCTTCTTACATCTCCTTTTCTGATATTCTTCTTGGATAACTTCTTGTGGCATTCTTCTTACATCTCCTTTTCTGATATTCTTCTTGGATAACTTTTTGTGGCATTCTTCTTACATCTCCTTTTCTGATATTCTTCTTGGATAACTTCTTGTGGCATTCTTCTTATATCATCTCTTTTTCTTCTGATATTCTTCTTGGATAACTTTGTGGCATTTCTTTCCTCTTTCTGATATTCTTCTTGGATAACTTCTTGTAGCATTCTTCTTACATCTCAACTTCTGATATTCTTCTTGGATAACTTCTTGTGGCATTCTTCTTACATCTCCTTTTCTGATATTCTTCTTGGATAACTTCTTGTGGCATTCTTCTTACATATCCTCTTCTGGTATTCTTCTTGGATAATTTCTTGTGGCATTCTTCTTACATCTCCTTTCTTCTTCTTCTTGGATAACTTCTTGTGGCATTCTTCTTACATCTCCTTTTCTGATATTCTTCTTGGATAACTTCTTGGCATTCTTCTTACATCTCTTTTCTGATATTCTTCTTGGATAACTTCTTGTGGCATTCTTCTTCTTACATCTCTTCTTCTGATATTCTTCTTGGATAACTTCTTGTGGCATTCTTCTTACATCTCTTCTTCTGATATTGTTCTTGGATAACTTCTTGTGGCATTCTTATTACATCTCCTTTTCTGATATTCTTCTTGGATAACTTCTTGTGGCATTCTTCTTACATCTCTTTTTCTTCTTTTCTGATATTCTTCTTTCTTGTGGCATTCTTCTTACATCTCTTTTCTGGTATTCTTCTTGGATAACTTCTTGTAGCATTCTTCTTACATCTCCTCTTCTGATATTCTTCTTGGATAACTTCTTGTGGCATTCTTCTTACATCTCCTTTTCTGATATTCTTCTTGGATAACTTCTTGTGGCATTCTTCTTACATCTCCTTTTCTTATATCCTTCTTGGATAACTTCTTGTAGCATTCTTCTTACATCTCTTCTTCTGATATTCTTCTTGGATTTTCTTAATCTCTTCTTCTGATATTCTTCTTGGATAACTTCTTCTTCTTCTTACATCTCTTCTTCTG